TCATTCAGGATGTCACATCAATGCGAGCTGTGGCAAGAAGGTTTGCTGTGTCTGTCAGCGTAGTGTCCAGAGCATGGAGGCACTACCAGGAGACGGGCCAGTACATCAGGAGACGTGAAGAAGCCCGTAGGAGGGCAACAACCCAGCATCAGGACTGCTACCTCTGCCTTTGTGCAAGGAGGGACAGGAGGAGCACTGCCAGAGCCCTGCAAAATGATCTCCAGCGGGCCACAAATGTGTATGTGGCTGCTCAAACGGTCAGAAACAGACTCCATGAGGGTGGTATGAGGGCCCGATGTTCCACAGGTGGGGGTTGTGCTTACAGCCCAACACCATGCAGGATGTTTGGCATTTGCCAGAGAACATCAAGATTGGCAAATTCGCCACTGGCACCCTGTGCTCTTCACAGATGAAAGCAGGTTTACACTGAGCACATGTGACAGACCTGACAAGGTCTGGAGACGCTGTGGAGAACATTCTGCTGCCTGCAACATCCTCCAGCATGACTGGTTTGGCAGCGGGTCAGTAATGGTGTGGGGTGGCATTTCTTTAGGGGGCCGCACAACCCTTCATGTGCTTGCCAGAGGTAGCCTGACTGCCATTAGGTACCAAGATGAGATCCTCAGACCCCTTGTGAGACCATATGCTGTTGTGGTTGGCCCTGGGTTCCTCCTAATGCAAGACAATGCTAGACCTCATGTGGCTGGAGTGTGTTAGCAGTTCCTGCAAGATGAAGGCATTGATGCTATGGACTGGCCTGTCCATTCCCCAGTCCTGAATCCAATTGAGTACATCTGGGACATCATGTCTCACTCCATCCACCAACGCCATGTTGCACCACAGACTGTCCAGGAGTTGGGGGATGCTTTAGTCCAGGTGTGGGAGGAGACCCCTCAGGAGACCATCCACCACCTCATCAGGAACATGCCCAGACGTTGTAAGGAGGTCATACAAGAATATGGAGGCCACACACACTACTGAGCCTCATTTTGACTTGTTTTAAGGACATTACATCAAAGTTGGATCAGCCTGTAGTTTTTCCACTTTAATTTTGAGTGTAACTACAAATCCAATGTGTTGTCAGCACATTCAACTATGTAATGAACAAAGTATTTAATAAGAATATTTCATTCATTCAGATCTAGGATGTCTTCTTTTTGTGTTCCCTTTATTTTTTTGAGCAGTGTATGTATTTGTGTGTGTGTGTATGCATATGCATATACATACACACACACATAAATAAATATTATATAAATATAAATATTTAAATAGATATAGGAAGTCTTTGGTTAATTGTGGTAATTGGGACCAGGAATTTGTTGCTACATGGTGAGTGCGATGTCATATTGTCATGTTGATTTAGGATTGCATTTCTGCTTGGTCATTAAGCATGACAACACTGCTTGGTCATTAAGCATGACAACATGCCATTTGCAATCTCTTACTGACTTCCCTATTGACTTTGCTTGTTGGAAATTGACAGAGAAGGTTGCAAATGAACAGTGACTGCAGGATGCTGCAATTTTCATAACTGTCAACAAGCTGCCAAATGCCTAAATCATGACCACATGACCCTGAACCATAAGTCTCCTTGTTCAGTGCTACTGTAACTTCTTGTTCAGTGCTACAGATTGATGAATGAATGGTCATTAACCAAGGACTATCTGTAATAGAGATGAGAAAATTCTTGAGGGGATTAAGAGGATTAGAACCAGAATTCATAAACAGAATATAATCAATAAAGAAAAACAGAATAAATATGTAAACCATTTATGAGTTAGATTTGTGGAATTTTAATTATACCTTAATTGCTTGAAGGGGGACAATCTTTGATATATTAAAGCTGTAATTCTGCACAAATGGATTTGGAATATCAGGATGTAAATACTTGAGAGGAAGTATTTCACAATGCTGATAACTGAGCCCTACAGAGATTCTCTAATTTGGGACTGTCTTGCTATGTTGGGATTACAGCTAACATAATAGCAAACTTGGCCATGGGGCGTTAAAGTCCTAACAAATGTGGAAAAGCCATAGTTAAGAGAGATGGGATTCCCTGACTTTTGAAATTGAGAACAAAGTTAAGCAAATGAAATAGAAGTTGTAACAATTAAAGCTCAAACCTGAACAATTTTGATCAGCCCACTGTACTCCAAGACCAGGACCACATGCTTACTCTCACTGGCTTTCAGGTAGACCATCTGCATCAGCCAATGTTCATTGACCGTGATTTCCCTGCCCAAGGGCAACATTTTAAGAATCTGTCCACTTCCAAAATCCCATAATTTCACAGTCCCTAAATGTGTAATAAAACAGAAGGAATGTCACTCTTCATAGAAATAACAAATAGCTGTGTGCTACTGACAACAAAGTTTGCCCTTAACTATTTGAAATACATGTAGAACAATACCGACCGATTGTGTAAAAAGTCTATTCTCTTAATACTTTACTAAGGGCTATTTGTAACTACTATACATGGTGCACAATGTTATAAAACCAAAAGAATTCTCAATTGATCTTTTTTCCCCCCAAGATGGCGATGTGCTTAGACACTGCGGCTTTGAGCTCCCTGGTGCCACAGCAGAATTAGGCAAAAACTAGTCTATACCCACTGGGAGTTGTTAAAGATTGGATCCTCTAGTCAACTAGATATTACCAGCGACTTCCAGCAGTCTCATAATATACCGAGTGATATAGTAAGACTGCCAGGCTCTCCATGGATCGTTGTTGGGCCTAGGAGGCGGTGAAGAGAGCAAAAGCAGAAGCAGGGATGCAGAGCTGGTTTGCTAGTTCGGTTACGGAAGCAGCCTCACAGACCAGCATTACCAAGCATTTTTCTAACCAACTCTAGATCCTTTGTCCACAAAACTGATGAACTAGAGCTATGGATGGCAGCGAATAAGGTCATTCGTGACTACTGTGTGATGATCATCACA